TCATTTTATGGCAGGAGTCAGACTTTCCAGGGATCTCTTCTCTTCCGTTGTCCTGAGATGGCAGCATTGCAGGGGGGCAGAGCCTCCATCAGCCTGGATCCCTGAGTGACCAAGTGGGGAAGAGCCCCTGCTGACCAGCATTGGACATATACCGGAGTGAGAAGCAAACCTTTCTTGTTTTGAACACCCAAGAATCGGAGGCTGTTTGTTACTGCAGCACAGCTTGACTGATACACGGACAGAAAGAACTCGGACCTCCTCTCCACCTCATCCTCCTGCTCCCGTGGAGAGAATGGGCCTCCGTGTTCCCCTTGGACAAGCACAGTTTAATGTTCACATACAGAGAGTCAGTGCCGGAAAGAGCCTCTGAGATCATCAGGTCGAGAGGAGTTCGCATGTGTATTAGAAGTAACACTCCTTTCAGTTGACAATTATTTGCGACCGCCTTTTGATTCTCTTGAAATAAAATTGATACTATAACCCACCTACACACGTGCTTTCAAAATAAATTAATGATAAAATGTCCTAACTCTAACTAGAGTATATAAGAAGAATAAGACAAAATGTTTAACAATATGAGTTTCGATCTACAAAGGCTTCGACACAGCTGTACCAGGCGCCATGAGAAAGCAGTGAGGCATTTATTCCTACTTGTAACGGATGAGTTTGGATGGGAAGTTGTTATTAAACCGAATGTGTGCTTGACATTTTCGTATGCCACGGGTGACAATGATTTTCAAAATGGTGAGGAATGCTGGGTAACGCTCTCACCTGGAGGGTGGGGAGCTGGGGTATTTATACCCCACCCCGAGGAGATTCTCTGAGTGTGGTCCCGTAGCCTATTACCTTGTTTCCTTGTTTCCATGGGTGTCTTTAGGGAAAAAAAACATGATTAACTGGAAAGTCTTTCTGCTCCATACAACCATGTCGCCTGTCTGCCATCCCTGTTGTCCTCGTCATCAAAAACAGTCGTGAGAAAGACAATGCTGGACACTTACAGAGCAGGGACTTTATCTTACTCATTGTCCTAAGCTCTTTCTAAAAAGTCAAGTCAGGTTAATACTCACGGCAACCTTATGAGATAGGTAGTATTACTAGTTGCTTGTTACAGATGAGGAAACCAAGGCACAGAGAGGTTAAGTGATTTGCCCAAAGGCACACAGTAAGTGGGGGATCCTGGAGAGGAACCCACGTGGTGCAGACCCAGGGCCTGACTCGGCCACCCCAACTCCAGTCCTTGACTGGACAGCCTCTAGCCAGTTGCCCACACTGCCTCTCAGTGAAACTGGTAACGTGCTCTCCTGGAACCAAAGCGCATCCTCTTGGAACTGAGGGATACTCGCCCTTCACTGTCACCCTCAGGCTCTGCCCCTTAGAAGGAAAATCTGGAGTCTAGGTTGGCACTAAGAGCAAGCTTTTGCAGTGAGACAGGCCTGGGGTCAGATCCCAGCTCTGCCCCCCTCTGTGGCTGTGTGATCTCAGCCGTTGGCTTGCCCTCTCTGAGCCTCTCAGAGCTCAGAGGATTGCATAGGCGAAGGCATGGGAATACTTGCAGAGAGCAGGCGTTCCCTGAGACAGGTCGTTATTATGAGTTTGAGGCCTTGGACAGACTCACTTGCAGATCAGTGACTGCCCGTGGGTCCCGCCTCCGGAATGAACCCAGCTCCAGGCCCTGGGACTGCACCTGGCCTGCGGGAGGGCACGGAGCCGGCCCCCTCAGCCCGGAGAGCATCTCGGTGTTATCTGCGATCAGGAGCGGACGGCTCCCGGCCCAGAGCCTAGAACACGGCAGGCGCTCGACAAACGTCACCACTGCTTGCGCTGGCGGCGGCAGCAGCATCAGGTCAGCGACCACAGCACCGACCGCTGACGAGTGCAGAGAAATGGGCTTTGGGGACGGAATGTGAGTCCCGGTCCCACTGCTGGAAAGCTGTGGCACTTGGGGCCCTTTACTTCGGCTCTTCGGGCCTGAATTTCTCTCTCTCTGCAAATGAGGATCCTTGTTACTTGTCTGTCGATGAGACACAAAACGTAAAACACCCAGGAATGAGGTTTGGGCTCACAGTAGCTCTGTGGCGGTGGCTGTTAGTATTAGCAGTATTATTATTGCTGAAGCTGCTGCTGTCGTTGTTAGTTTCATTTCTACTCTATCTCCCTGGTGACTCCCTGTCCTTATGGGCTGCAGGAGCGTGCGGGGGGCTCAGGAACCCAAGTTCCAGAGTCAACACTCAGGGTCCGAGTCTCAGCTCTACCCCTTCTCATCCGTGTGGCCCTAGGAGGGCGATGCTGCCTCTCTGAGCCTCAGTTTCCCCATGTGTGAAGTAGGATGAATAACCATGCCGGCCTCCCAGTGACATTCAGAGGATTCAACAAGACGGTGTATCCCGAGAGCCCTTGGCACTGGGGCCGGCACCCGGTAAGCACGGGGGTGCGACGCATCGCCAGTCCTCTCCTTGGGAGAGGGAGGAGGCTGGGTCCTGGGAGCAGGAAGGGTGAGGAGTGGGGGTGCTGCTATCCCCACATGAGGGGTGTCGACCCCTGCCTCAAGTCTGTCTGGGCGCTGGGCACCCCTGGCCCATCAGAGCCCGCTGTCCCATACACTCCGAAGTAGAAAGTCAGGGCGATTTCGCAACTGTGCCTACATTTTAAAAATGCGCAGGTTGAAGTAACTGAAAACTGCCGTATCCTTCTCAGCGCCTTCCTGAGCCCCCCGCAGGCCTCCCACACACCAGCTGCATCAGCCGCTGGGAGGCTGCAGGTGGTGGCTGAGACAGACGCCAGGGACAACAAAGTCAGGGAAAGCATGCAGGGCTGGCGCGTGGAGGAGGGAGCGGGGAAGGCTGGTGCCCAGCTGCCAGCTGACCGTCAAGAGGGACACCCCTCCTCTTCCCATTCAGGGGCAGAAGAGACTCATCCGTGCCTGGCACTGCCCTGGCGTCCCCGCTCAGCTCTGCGGCAACTCCCCCTGCCCGGATGAAGCCACAGAGGCTCAGAGCAGGGGTCAGTGGTGGGAAGGGGGATGGGGGCTCGTTCCCCCAGCCAAGGCTGCAGAAGGCCCCTGGGTGGGGGGGCAGAGAGGCCGAGGCATGGAAGAGAGAGCTCTGGGGGACCACAGCAGCACGGCTCACCCGGGTCTCTGCAGTGGCCTCCCGACTGGTCTCCCTGCATCCCCCTCTCGGCCGCACGGTGTACTCCCTGCACCCCAGCCAGAGAGGTCCTATCAGACCCCAAGGCAGACCACGGCTTGCCTTGTTCAAACACCCCACAGCTCCACCTCCCTCGGAGATCAGAATCCATCGTGGTCTGCGGAGTCCTAAGTGCGCTGACCTGCTCCGTCTGACCCATCCCCGTCCCCTACTCCATTCCAGACCTACCAGCCTCCCGGCTGTTTCCCCATCAGGCAAGCTCACTCCTGCATGGGCCCTCGCACCTGCCATTCCTCTGCCCGGAACGTTCTCACCGTTCATTCAGGTCTCAGCTTAAATGGCACCCCCTCAGGGCAGAGTTCCCTGGCCACCACCCCCCTCAGCTCTGTCTTTTTACCCCACTTTATTTTTCTTCCTGGAACTTGCCACCTCCCAACAGTATATGCAAAACATACTTGTTTATTTATTTTCCTTCTTTCCCATAGAAGGTGAGAATTTTGTGCTGTGTCCTCAGGCCTTGAACAAAGCATGACATTTGCTGAATAAAGTATTGACAACAGAGACTGACCCATAGAGAGATGGAGGGAGAAATGATGGATAGATGGATGGATGATAGAAAGGAAGGATGGATGGAAAGATGGGTGAATGGGGCGGATGGGCTGATGGACAGTGGACTGAAAGAACTGATGGATGAATGGATGGAAGGATGGGTAGAAAGATAGATGAATCGATGGAAAGATAGAAAGATAGAAGGAAAGAAGAATGTATGGTTGGATGGAAGGATGGATGGATGGGTTGGTGGATGAATAGGTGGATCAATGGATGGATGGATGGGTGGGAGGGAGAGAGGATGGATGGATTGATGGACAAGTGGACTGAAAGAGTTGATGGATGAATGGGTGGAAGGATGTGTAGGAGAAAGGAGGATGGATGAACCAATAGAAAGAAGAAAAGATGGAAATAAGGAGGAATGGATGGATGGATAAATACTTGGGTAGATGGATGTGTTGGTTGGTGAATGAATGGATGCGTGGATGGATGGATGGATGAGTGAATGAATGGATGGGTGGATGGATGGGTGGGTGGATGGATGGATGGATGGGTGTATGAGTGGATGGGTGGATGGATGGATGGGTGGAATGGATGGATGGATGGGTGGATGGATGGATGGATGGGTGGGTGGATGGATGGATGGGAGGGTAGGTGGATGGATGGATGGGTGGGTAGGTGGATGGATGGGTGGGTGGATGGATGGATGGATGGATGGGTGGCTGGATGGATGGATGGATGGATGGGTGGGTGGATGGAAGGAAGAATGAATGGATGGACATGTGGGTGGATGGATGGATGGATGGGTGGGGATGGTGGATGGATGGGTGAGTGGAAGGAAGGAAGAATGAATGGATGGACATGTGGGTGAGTGGGTGGATGGATGGATGGGTGGATGGATGGATGGGTGGATAGTGGATGAATGGATGGATGGGTGGATGGATGGATGGGTGGGTGGGTAGGTAGAAGGAAGGATGGATGAATTAATGGAAAGAAGAAAACATAGAAAGATGGAAGAAAGGAAGAATGAATGGATGGACATGTGGGTGAGTGGGTGGATGGATGGATGTTTGGATGGAAGGACCGACAGACATTCAGATGGAGACCCACATCGGTGGACAAACACAAAACCTGGGCAGGAGGTGCATGTGGTTCTGCCTGAAAGGATGATGTGAGCCTAGGATACAGGCGCAGCTCACAGCCCTTTCCTGGGGGTCTCAGAACCCCCGGCCCAGCCTCCCTCAGCCTGCCCCTCTGACAGGCCCCACCCCACCCTGGCCCCTCAGGAAGTGATGCAGAGGAACATGGCAGGTGGGGGACCGACCCCAGGCTTTATTGAGCAGATTCCGGGGAAGGGTGGACAGGCGGCCCCTTGCCCCAGCCCTGGAGCCTCCTCTTCTTGCCCTCGCTGCCCCCCAGGGCGGGCCTAGGCCACTGAGGTCGGGGCGCCCTTCAGCTGCTGAGGAAGCAGCCCCGCTTGTGCCACTTCTGGTCACGGATGCGGCGCACAGACTGCAGCTGCGGCTGGTTGGCGTCCCACTCGTTCCAGTGGCGGTACTCACCCTGCTCGAACACGTACTGGCGCCCGCGGTAGCCAGGGAACTCATAGCCAACCCACCTGCCGGGGAGACCAAGGTTGGGTGCACACGGTCCGCTTGCAGCCACCTGCCCCAAGCCAGACCAAGCCTTTTAAAGCCAGCATCTGATCATGCACTCCACCTGCCTAAATTCCACCTTGGCTCCCCAGTGCCCTCTGGATAAAGGCAAACTCCTTACCCTGCTCACATGACCCTTCACAAAACATCTCCAGTCTCACGTCTCAACTCTATACCCCAGCCTCTCTTAATCCACTTTCCTCGAACGTGTCATGTCTCTGAGCCCCTGTACATGCTTTTCCTTCTGCCTGGAACACTATTCCTTACCTCATCCTTATCCTTCCCCCTCCTTCTTTTGCATCTTTTACATCTGATTTTAGAAGTCTCCCCCCAAAATTCTTCCCTGACTCCCCCAGGCTGAATCAAGTACCTTGTTGGGATTCCCAGGGCCTCCTGTGTGTCCCCATCACAATCCCGATCACAATAAATGGGGAATACTTGTTTCCCCATCTGTCTCCCTATCAGACTATGCAATCCTTGAGGGCAGAGGTGTGTAGCTCTTGTCTCCCCTGTATCCCCACACCTGGCATATAGTAGACGCTCAGTAGAAAGTTGTTGAATAAATTATTATCAGGGACAGGTGGCATCTCTCAAGGTCCAATCCCAGATCACAAACACAGTGAGATGTAACCACCGACAAAGGGCAGGTGATCCTAAGGTTGCATTAACGGTGATACGAAGCCCAGAATGAGGGAGGTGATAAGCCTGCTCTTCTCTGCACTACTCAGGTCACACCTAGACAGCTACATACATCCTGGGTCCCTTGGTAAGAAGGACAAGGATCATGAGAGGGAAAAAAACATTCTGAGAATCAGCTCAAGGGCTTGGGGATGTTCTGAAAAGGAGTAAAAGACTCAAATGGGGACAGGTGGGGAGAATAGATTTCATTTGATTTTAAAAAAAGATAAAACTCCCTATGAGTCAAGGCTGCCTAGAAGTCTCCACGGTGCAGGTGACTGGACATTCACACCGTGGGGGCTGCAGCGTGGGGCTCTGGGCAAGCGCGGTACAGGAGCAGCTGCCCCAAAGGGCCCTCCGAACCGGGAGGAGCAAGAGACACGAACCGTATAAGAAACTATGAGCAGAGACTCCGTTTGGAGCCAGAGGTGCGGCTGGCCAGAGAGCGGGGCAGGGGCAAGGGTGGGGGCTGGAGCCCTTACGTCCCGTTGATGGCACGGACACTCGCCACTCGGTCCTGGAAGCCGTGAGCCCACAGGCTGGGCACGTCATCGTCCACTATCTCCATCTTGCGGCCGCTGAAAGCTGGGTTCTCAAAGAGATGCAGCTTGTGGTCCGGACCATCCTGAGGGCGAGACGGCGGGGTGAGACAGCCGCTCCCACGCCCGGGGCAGAGCCCAGGGAGGCTCCAGATGCCAGAAAGAATCAATTGGTCACCACAAAATAGCACCTATCCCCAAACCTGCTGCAGGAGGGGGGGGCCTCAGGAGACACTGCCTCCTCCAAACCCATTGCCGGAGGGGTGGGGTGCGGGGGGGCTTCCTCCAGAGCTGCTGTACTGAGGAATCTCGGAGCCACAGAGTGGGAAACCGCACGGGGACTTTTCAGATCTTGTCCGGCCCCATCATTTAACAGGCAGGAAGCCGAGGCCCAGAGAGGGCAGGAGGAGATGAGAAGCACCCACGTGTGAGCATTCCTTTTTCCTAGCCACGCTCTGATGTGATCTTCCCCATTTTCCCTCTGCCACTGTCCTCTAAGGAGGACTCAGTTATGCGACAAGGAGAAAGGGCTCGGGCGACCCCCGAGTGGGAGTGAAGCAGGTGAGAGAGGAGGGCAGCGTTTAAAGTGTCAGGGCGTCCCTGTCAGGTGTTGGAGAAATGCAAGTGAAGAACCTAAACTACTTGGAAGTTACTTCCTGAAGGTATTCTCCGGACTGCGTTCGTGTGGCCACAGTGCTGATCCGAGACTGGACCGCGCGGCCCCGGGCTCTAGTGGGGTTGCGCGCGGAAGCCCGAGTGCCCTGCTGGCGAAATTCGAGATGCGAGCCCTGGTGGCCGGACGCCCAGCCTGACGCCCACGCCATAGCCCGCTTCCTCTTGTCCCACGTGATCATTCAGACCAGAGACACGAGGGCCCTCCCCGCGCGGGTCCACACTGGCCGAGCCCTCGGCCCTCGAGCGTGCGAAAGGGGTTGCCGGACCGGCTCGCAGCAGGCCCTGCTTCCGAGAACCCCCGGCAGTGGGCGGCAGCCGGACTCACGATGTGCAGCGGCCGGAGGGACAGCAGGCTGTCGCTGTTGTGGCTGTTGGACCAGGCATCCCAGCGAGGGTAGTCCCCCTTCTCCAGGACGAACTGCTCCCCGCGGAAGGCCCTGCGCTCAAACGCCAGCCACCTGCGAGAGGAAGAGGCCGGGTCACCTCCGCGCAGCCGCGGGAAGACCCGAGTCTAGCGAGCGAAGCGCCCGAGAGCTGCTGACCTTTGACCTTGCACCTCTCCCCAGCCCTACTGCCGATTCCTGGACCTGTTATTGAAGGAGCCACTAGGACGCATCAGGAATGTCTGAGACTGCGGGCCAGACAGCCATCCCAGGAAGTGTTCCTGACAGTCCACGGTAGGCCCGGCCTCTGTGCATGGTGCTCAGAGACGTCCTCAGCGTAAAGCCAGGCACGCCGCAGTC